ATGGTCGCTTAATAATAATCTGATTCCATGCAATAATATTTTTCAAGCCGTTGTGCTTTCTTGCAGTTATGGTGCAATTGCATCGCCTCACGATTTTAACGATTTCGCCAGCGTTTCGTTTCGTCCAATTCATTGCACTTGATGGGAAAGTGATTGCACTTCTCTTTTGTGCTCTCTATCTCTCTCTCTTGCTCTCTTTTAGTGTGCTCTTCAGATGGCAATTTTTTACAATTCATGAAAGATGCATTTTTTTTCGACAGCAAGAAGAAATGCAAATATCATTCAGTATTAATTAAGAAAATGCGAGTAAACATAAGCTCATAACTCTTGTAAAAATGTACAAAACTCTCCAGAAATATTGACAACGAGCTTGTATATTTTTTCATGTAATAACAATAAATTCAATCCGATTCGAAATTGTGTTGCAGAATGTGTTGATATATATATATAAAATGCGCTCACTCACACACTCACACACCATACCGAATGCCATCGTTCTTGTTCTCGTTTTTTTGTCGATTTTTACATTCTCTGTGTGCATTTCTTATGCGCTTGATTCGCTCATCTTTATAGTTTGGATATCGTTACCATTCTTATCGTTTCAGTTTGAAGCGGAATGAATGTTTTTTTTGTTTTCAATCTAAAGTTTATCTTTGTCGGTTGTTTTTTTCGTTCGATGATTTTGTGTTTTGATTCCATTAGTTTTTTTTTTCATTAAAATTCTTTCTTTCTGTCCAAACAGAAGTTAAAAATTCAACAATGCATATTTAAATGTTTAAATAAGAGCAGAAGGAAAAAAAACAACTACAAGTCAAATATAATCATTGAGATTCTTTTGATGAGACTCCAGCTGTTTGGGTGAGTCGCTTTTTTCGTCGAGAGTGTAACATTTGCAATGAGTGTCTTTTATTATCGAGCGTTCGAACAATGCCGGCACAATGCATCAACAACTAATTTACACTTATTATCTAACAGAGGAAAGCAGAACAGTTTTCTTTTTTGAGCAAATTCATTCGACACAATATAAATTGAATGTGTTGCGATGTTTTGCAATATCAAAACCATAACGCCGCTTATGAATTCATTCTTCAACGCTGACAGCATATTCCAAAGCAAAGTTTCAAAGCCGTCACTTTTCGGTAAAATGTCAGTCAATTTTCACAGTTTAAAAGTTTTGGCTTCAACTAAAACAACAACAGAGAGAAGAAAAAACGGACAAACTTTAAAACAATTTTCCAAATTAACTGACTCACTATCGGGAAATATAAAGTGTGACAGTAAAATAACACGATTGTAAAGTTGTGAGAGCCAATTTTCAAGAGACAGAGAACGCGACAATGGAAAGAGAGAGAGATAAAAAAAGAGAGCGAGGAATAGAAAAGAATAAATTTCATGATAACCTCGTATGTTATGAGTCTTTTGAAGTCTTGAGTGACAGTACAAAATGTTTCTGGAACTATAATGTTCCGGTTTTTTTGTCTTCTTTTTCAAACAAGTTCTAATGCAATGATGCAAAATTACTTTCAACGCAAAAAAAATATACAGAAAGAAAAACCCGCTTCTTTCTTATTTTATTGTCTCTCGTTCGGTATTCGCTTTCGCGTTCCGTTGGCTGAGAAAATAATTATAGTGTGTACTATTTATGTTCTATGCAAAACAAAAAAAAACACAACACAAAATAATCTGTATTTTCGAAAGGTTTTAAATGATAAGTTTTTTGTGTATTTGATTTATATCGCAGTAGTGAAAATGAAAGCATTTCATCAAGCGATGATGAAAATACGGCGAAATTTACGAAAAAAAAATACAGAGAATTTTTAATGAATGTGGAAATATTTAAAACTGAATTTTGTTTGTGAGATAAAAAAAACGAAACATTGTTTTTCAGTATTGTTTTCAAGTCATAATTGCAGCACTTCCTTATGAGCAAACCAACTCAAGAACTGATTATTTCTTCGACGAATAGAGAACAACTATAGTTGGTGATACTATTGTAGTGCGTTAAAACATCCTGTGCGTTCCAATTTGATAATGAAATCAAGTTTCAAGTAGCGAATGCAGATGATTTATCGATAGCACACACACATTTGTTTCATGTTCATATTGTGTAAATGCCGTCAACATTCCATTCTTTGTTATTTGTGCGAAATCATATATATATATACAGTCACATTTTTATGCATTCGTCGACTCAACGACAATGTACTCTCCGTTATTTAAAAAGACAGAAGAGTATCTGGTATGCACACACATCATCGTGTCGCATAACATGAAAATATGCGCCTGGGAAACGGATGTACCGCTGCTACTTACTAGTAGCCGGAAAAATAATCATTTTAAATATTAATAAAGCGTCATATTCAAACAAATAAACAGAGAGACGAGAAGAAAAAAAAACGACAAAACGGACCGACTCGGAATTTATATTTTCTATGCATGCATAATATGCGCAGAGTACTGAAGAAAAAAAAATATATATAACGTAATCATAATCTGTGTGGTTTGAAGATGTATCAACAATATCATTTCTTTCGTTTCTTCAAAATGGCTATCAAATCGTTTTCCATGTCTTTGGGTCTTTTGTTGTTCTTATTGTAACACACACTATGTGCCATGTTCAGTTTCTTACGAACTTTTTTTTGTGCTCGGTCACATACATTTGTAATTCATTTGCCGTTCATTCCAAATATATACCGCTTTTTTACATATCATATGATTGTTTTTTTTTCTTCGTTTCGTTTGTGTATGCCTTCGATACGAAGTAGCATTGCGAGTGTTGTTTTGAATGCAAGTCACACGACGCATTGGCACGACAACGGTCGCAACTGCCGCCACCGCCACCGCCACAATCAAACGGGAAGGAAATAAACGACAATATACAAATATATGTATTCATTTTTACATCTAAGAATTAGCGATCCATTTCAAATGGCAAAACGGAATGTTGAACGCAACTAACAAGAAAATATAATCAAATCAGTAAGTGTCTCTACTCTTTTCTCTCTATCTATGTACATCTCTTCAGCGGTATGCTTTCGTGTCTAACCTATTAGCTGTTGTTGATGTTGTTGTTGTAAACAACGTGATACGCATAGAGCACCGAGCAACATTGACGAGCATTTCGGTTGTATGGTAAGCGCGTAATGCACAATGAAGCTTCAGGCCCATAATAATAAGTTTCTTTTTAGTCGATTTTCCGTAGAACAAACATGTGGCACAGCCAATTAGCACACTTTTCTGCACAGTTTTCTCTATGCTAGTTCTGCTCTTTTTTTTATTCTTCGTCTTCTTTTATATATTCTCTCATCCATTTTTCTGCTCCAGTCCAAAAAACATTACATTATTATTGTATCTCTTGTGACTAAAAATCATTTCGGTCGTTTGAGAAGTGCAGAATTGATGCGGTCTCAAGTTAAAGGAAGTTTAGTCGATTTCAATGGGACACCAGCAATTCAGCAGTTGAATATGAAACGATTGTTCGCCCCAGAAAAAAAAATTGTATGTGTGTGCACACATCGATACTTGACTTTTTCGTTCATCGACTTTTATCCATCTCTCAAAAGCGTAAACGGTTTCGGTTAACAGATAGATACCAAACATTAAAATTGCAAACCGTTGAAGAGACCAGAAGAGCAACACGAAGAGAGAACAAAAAACCACACAGAAGAATAAGACGACGCAAAAAAAAAGTGGCGTACATAGCGGAAATGCAAAGAGAATTGAATCACTTTATCCAAAAAATTATTTCGCAGAATGTGCCCAAAACGCAAAGTCGTTAAATTACAATAACATTTACCAGACTATTTGGTGACATAGTGTTGTTGGTCTATTGTTCGTATGACAAACAGTTATGCGATTTAGAATTAAGAAACAGAGAGAGAGAGAGAGGGTAATAACAATATGGTTGGCGCTGTGCCTCACCGATTAAATGCCCAGAATAAATTAAATCTAAATTCGTTTAACAAGGAAATTAGACGCCCATGTTTATAACACGATGGAACAATATTGCATGAAATACACGCAATGGCTTTTAGTGCTCTAGGTTTTTGTGTGACAATGTGGATACGCTTTGATTGTTGATTCACGAAAACCACTTAGCCCAGCATTACATTCAGACGATTTTCTTCGTCCGACCGGATTTTTATTTTCGCTACTCATTTTTCTAAATGAAGAAATTCCAAACTTGTTTCACGCTAAAAAAAAATTATACTTTCGTATCGAATTACAAAGCTTTCGATTTTTTTTTTCTGGTGAAAATTCAAATTTCGATATTTATCACATACACAGAGACTTGTAGCAATTAATATTTTTCAAGACTGTTTTTGTGATGTAGATTCTTAAATTTTGATTTTAAAGAGATCCAATACCATCGATTTTTCTTTGTCATTAAACAAAACAAATATTCAACGGATCGATAAAATTTTATTGTTTGAATTTTAACTAGTCATAATGATGACATTGGCATGGCATCTATTTTGATTTCAAACCGAAGAGGGACAATGACACAAACATTCAAACCGTTCATTGCTTGGAAATTCATTTTAAAATCCAAAATTTTGCATAGTTTAGCGCTTAGTTTTGTGCATGGATTTTGTAATACACAGAAATAGAAGATATTGGTCATTAGCTTCATTCCAATTTTCTATTCTATATGCACGACGTTGATTTCTAATTTATATTCAATCAAATTGCTAATCATTAAAATGAGATCAGAAGATTTGATGAAGAGAAAGAAAGAGGAGAAGAGAGAGAAAGAGAGAGAGAGAGAGAGAGAGAGAGAGTAAACTAGAAAGAAATCTACTTTCAATACTATTCAATTCTTTGATTAGAGTGATCTGTACAATAAGTTGAATAGCATTGATTGACAGCAGTGGAAAATATGAGCCACTTGAATTGCTAAAGAAATAAAGAAATTGGTGTTTTTAGAAATGATTTGAAAACAGGTGTTCGCTGAAATTGAAATTGACTGTTGTGTTCTTTTCTTTTCTTCAAAAAAATAGAAAAATAGTTCAAGTATGATTGGTCGAATAGCGCTTGATTCATCAACTGGTCCGGTGGTGAAACGCGGACTTCTCTGGCAACAACGCGATCGCATTTTTTCACGATGGAAGGAGCGGTAAGTGATTGTAAATAAATATTTTGTCACAATGGTACCTGAAACTGTTCTACCACATTGTTGATTAATGTCATTTGTAATGTTATGCTAATAATGTTCCAAATCAAAATTGTCGCTTTTTGGTATTCAATTTGGTGAAACATTTGATTTTTTATTTATTGTCGTTTGAACAATGTATATGTAATTATTTAATGGATGATATTTGACAGGTACTTTGTATTGACACGAGATTATTTGCAATGTTTCAAGCGCGCTTCTGGATCGGTGAACGAACGAATCTCCGACATGGGACAATTTATATTCAAGGTAAATATATTAAGATTTATGGTAAAAACGATTCACTTAGAAAATCGACCTTTAAACCCACGCAATTTGCAGAAAATAAATAACAAAATACTTAAACAGATTAAAAAAAAAACAATCACCATACCAAAACAAAATTAAATTAATTTAACGCATACATAATATTTATTAATGAGCCCGATGTCTGGTCACCTGTTTTATCTGTTGTTTAGATAAAATTAGTGGATGTAGAGAAAGTTGAGTGGTTGAATCGTCGGTCGTATAGCGCAATAAGTCTCTTTCTTGGTCGAGAAGGTCGAGTTTTATTGCGTACTGATACGGGACTCGAGGACTGGTTTGAACTACTTGAGGTAAGAATCGAACGACATGAAAAAAACTACTTTTTAATTAATCACAAGCACGAAGTTCATTTAGATGTATTTTTTCTTTCTTTCTCTCTCTCTCTCTCTCTCTCTCTCTCTCTTTCTCGCACACATAATCTACGACATTCAAAAACGGAATGTATTTCATGGTTTTGACGACAATTAAAACAAATCCCAAATCAAACCGTACAATAAATGACCTGTCTGAAACCAAAAATAACAAACGTTTGTGGCACGCACACCCAGGAGTGTACATTGATTAGCAAAGAACGTCGTCACGCGTTACGTATAACGCAAGGGCCAAGATCGCGTGCGTCACTTGCAGCATTGCCATGCCATTCATCATTTCAAACAACACATTCGAGCCTCGGTGCAACATATAATTTCCAATTATGTGATAGCGTACCTGATTTGAGCGGCTGTGGTGGTGGTGGTGGCGGTGGTGCTTTTACGTCATCCACATCGTCGGCACCACGTAAAATCCCAATAAAAAATGGCGCATTTCATATGACAACAAATGGCATCAACAATAATAATTTCTTAATGAATGGCTATAGCTATGGTACACCGTTACGAATACAAAATCATAATAAAAAGTGCATTACAACATCAACACCAACCCAAACACCAACACCAACCAAAACATCGGCCGCATCAACAATTGACTACGATAATGATGATAATGTGGTTCAATTAAGACGAAGAAATGGACACATGAACACAAACTCATCATATGAAAACAATGCCAATGACAAGCAAAACGATTGGATGTACCGTCGACCAAACGCTCCAAATGACATCCGACATTCATGTAAGTTCACAACTGGTTTCGCAATACGTGAAACACTCAATTGGATTTTGTATTAAATTGCATATTTTTGTTGTTGCTGTTTGAATTGCGCTTTTTGATTGCAAAAACCATTGATAGATAGGGAGAGGCAAATATAGCACATACAAATGCAAACGCAAATAGAGCGATTGATACAAAAGTGGAATATTTAAATCGTATCGTGTAGTTCATCGTGGCTTTTGTTCTCTATTTGCGTTTTACTCCATTTTCATTTTTGTGGTGTGTGCTATACTCATATTCAATGTTTAATCTATTGGTATTTCTTTCATTTTCGATGTATTTAGTATTAACCGACATTGATATATCGGCTTGTGACAGCGGTTTGGATCAGGATCAGGATACACCACCATCGACACATCGACCATCCAGCTATCGTGAACCATATTATATGATGCATTCAGCTAGAGATTCAACTGATACGGGCGTTAGTTCGTCACGTGGCACACTTAATCGTGGTACATTGGTTTCGCCAAAAGGCAGCTTCCGTACGAATCATGAAAATGGAAATGCTTTAAGGTAACATTCAAATGATAAATAAAAAAAAATATGAAACTAAACAAAAGACATCATTATCTTCAACGATATCATGGTATATAAATCATAGACACGACATTTCGACATCAAATATGCCAATCACTCGATGAATGAGCTTGAGTGCTAGACCAAATTCAAATTGGGAAACTTTCACACAAAAATGTCTACGCATATCAGAAGTGACGGCTAATTTTCAGTGTGGTTGAATTAGAAAAAAAAAATCGTCTTTTTTTCTGCTCAACGATGATTGGTTTCGATTTTGTTTGAAAATTCGACATTTAGACAGACGATGAAATTGATGAACCATTGAAAATTACCTATACCAAATGATATCTATTGGCAATTTCTTCAACGAATACGCACATTTTCAAATGCATGGAAAATCCCAAAGACAGTCATTTCGTATGTGTGTGTGTGTGTGTGTGTGTTGACAATTGTTCAAAATCAGACACTCGATGAATGGCCTCTGTCTCTGCTCATGCTGACGATGAAATTTATTCGAAAATTTTGGAAACTGATATAGAAATAATTTGAGGTAAAAATTTCCATTTATAGTATAAAAGCAACATCATTGTCGGTCGTTGCTGGTGATTCGTTTCGATTGTCAATTCAGTTTCCGAGTGTTGCAGAAAAACAATTGTGTCTGAACACGTAGACTTGATTTGGTCTGGGTTCGCATAAGAATCAATGTATTGTGTCAACACCTTAGTCACATCGAATACAAAGCATTTAAATAATAATGATAAGGCAGAAGATAGACATACACCAAACCAGTCAATGCACTGCAAATTGTTCATATTTAACACGGTTGAATGATTGCTGTTTGTATTTTTTTGTTTATCTCGGGTGCAAATTATAACGGCGCATAAATTAAGTGTGTGGCTATGTAGACGAGAGAGCGAGAGACGAGAACGAAACAGAGTTCAAGATGTCAGACACACCGTAATAATCAGTCGTGTGCAACTTGATAGAGCATCTTGAATGGGACATTGCTCGTCTCTTTTTTTGTCTCTCCAAACAACGTATGATCACTTTGAATTTGTTTTATTGTCGATGGTGTGTGTGTTGGTATGATTTGAAGTGATGTTGTTGTGTCATGCATTATTAGAGACATAACATACGAATTTGAATGAAAACATTTCAAATGTTATCCGATTTTATGAGAATGAATATCTCACTTGAAGTTTTGATGCTGACGCTTCAAGCAAATTCATATAGTATGCTCAAGAGTCCATTGCCACAAGCTTCGTGTTAGTTAATGTTGATTTCGATTTGTCTACTCAACTTCTGTCGCTTCACTGATTGTGCTTACATATATGCAAGAGCACATATTTGTTTCGCTCGACTTTACATTGGCGAAAAAAAATGAGAATACATTAAAAAGTTAATGCAATGGAAGGATAACGGAGCATACACACACGCACACACACTACTGGTAAAAGCATTAAATGACATTAGGGTGGTTACCAAAGAAATTTAAAGTGTTTGAATACGGAACACGCTTTTTTCTGATTTGGCTCAACTTAGTTTACATTGAAAGTACTTTTTTCAGCCATGTTGGATTAAAGTCGTTGAATATGTTTGATATGATGTAATCGTTGTAGTTTTTACATAAAAAGGTCTGAATAAGTCTGATCAACAGATATAACTAAGGAGGCTTGACTAGTTAGTCATAATCATAATCAGTTATCATAATTATCAATTTGTCGGACTATGTAATTATCAATTAGTTAAAAGAATAGAAAATTATCGTACAGAATTTCTAGCAAAAAAGGGTTTTCATTTTCATCAAAATTGATTACGGAGGATGTTGAGAATTTACCAATTTTTTTTTTGCGCTCTTGCTGGGAGCCGCTCCTCTCTATGAATGTGTTAGTGTAATTAACGTTGTTTGTGTGAGCTGTATACTAATATGAACTCAGGGGTTCTTCTGAGGCACTGCGATTTCTAAGCAAGTGTGTTATTTCACAAAGAAAATTTCATACTCTGCAAAAAAACTCTGTCAAATCGAAAGATTTTTTTTTAATCCGAGCAATTTGAAAGAATTTATGTCTCTGGTAAAAGTGATAACCTAATAATGGTCTTAACCTATAGACGGAATGTTTTTCTTAATTTTTAAGAAGCTATGTAAATTGAGGTTGAAATTTATATCATATTAGACAGTGATAGCGTTGTAAACATGGACAAATTGATCGATTTTCATCTCGATTCAAATTTCACCATACGTACAAACCATAGGTCAAAAAGTCCTAATCAGACTAGACCAAAGTCATTTACACTTGGATTTTTTTTACAAATCGTACACATATACTCAGAGTGAACAACTATTATGAGCTTAGGAATACTACTTAAAGAAGTTTCCGGATTAAAATCATAGAATGGTCTATCTATCCACCCTAGTGTAAATATGCCTATGGGCAATCTCAAGTACATCCGAAAAAACCCCTATAAGCTTAAGCACATTCATGTAGAGCAGTGTTGTGTGCATTTCATCACGTTTTCTACTTATGAAAATCCAGCAAATTGTTATTATGTAAATGCCAAAACACGAAAATGCTCATTTATACTCATTTCATTATTTATTCCATCTATTTTGCACGTCGGCTAGTTTGAATGTATTAAGAAGAAGTTGCAGTCCAATGCAGATAAATGGACATTTTAAATAATCAGTTAAATGACAATTACACATACATTTTATTAATTTTCCCAAACACCTCAATATAATTCTGTTGATTTTAATCTAATTCAAATACATTTATCTTCAACAGACGAAGTGTGCAAGAGAATTTGCAGCAGTTTCGCAACGAAAAAAATCGATATTTAAATCAATATTCATCGAATAAAATGTCTGCAAATGACTATTATGATCCAAATCAAAATAAATATCATAAATTGGATGGAACATCACAATCGATTTCATCGTCTGCAACAAATATAAATCATGCCACCGCAAATAATAATTCGCAAGCACAATTGCATTCGTATCATCATTACCAACAGCAACAGCATGATCGGTATAGCACCGGAAATGGACATTTGAATGGAACGAACAATAACAACTGCAACACCAATGGAAATATGAATGGTTTATCGTCGGCCGTTTTGCATCCAGCATTGCTTAACATCATGAACGATGCACAAGCAATGAAATTCAGAGGTATGATTGATTTTTTTTTCATTCTTTCAACCATTTTCAATGTCCATTTTCATTTCACCGATGTTCGTTCATTTTCATTTTCTTTTCATTTAGATCGCTCATTTTCGGATATTCAACAAAAGCCACGTTTAATCCATCAAATGCCCAATAATAACTCATCGAGTCCCCGACGACGTCAATTTTCAGCTGCTCAATCTCGCATTTGAAATCGTCATTTACGGCCGTGATAATTACTTACAACTGTCAATTTTTTTAGAAACAAAAACCCCACAATATTACATAAGCAAGAAAAAAAGAAACAAATGAGTTTGAACCACTTAAAATGTTTAGCCGTCTTATGAGCCAAAAGGCGACACCTTCAAACAAATATTTGATACTTTTGAATAATTTTACCAAATTTGAAAGGCTTTTAAATTTTAGGTGCTTAAGGACACTATCAAAAAAAAGAAGTTGATCTTACACATATATAGACACACACACATAAACAAGAAAAACCATGTAATTTCGACGCACCGTTCGTTTGTCACAATCAAATTGACTATTTATGATTTAAAAACTGATGTGAAAACTGTTAAAATGTTTTCGAATAGTAATAACTTCTCAAGATTTTCATCAAAAACTATTTCGGTGACATTTTAATTACATAGAACAAGCAATAAAATCAATTAATCAGTTTGATGGAAAAATAAGCTACCGTTAAATGAACATAAGAAAGGAGTTCTTTCATTCTCTTCGTCACCAAAAACCAAACGCATTAATTTATTGAACAACCCTTCGAGAGAACATTTCAATACAGATATTGTGACATTTTGAAGTATGTCGAAAAATATTCTTCATGTTTAGTACAAGAAATGTGCAGAGAAAACGAGACAGAACATAGTCATTTGTATAAAATTGATGTAATATTTGTTTAAGAAGAAAAATAATAAAAAAAACCAATTAGAATTTATTAAATAAACTCTATTTAATTGATGTTTTATTGTCACCACCCCCACAGCTTTATTCGAAAGTTTCGGATCGAAACATTGTATTTATAGGCAGCTGCGACTTTTGGCATTACCTTTCATCAATTTTGAATTTTCAAACGAAATCTGAAGACCTGGTTTGCTTTTCAAATTATCTCTCTCTAGGGTACAGTTGCTATTTGTACGAGAGTAAAAAAGTTTGAAAGTGAAACAGATTTTCTATGTTAGTCACACTTCTTTTCTCGGTAAGTATTTTTATGAAGTTGCAAGTCTCGTACACATATGTGTAGAATTTGTAGATCAAACATAACTACAAAGTGACTGATTGTGTAATATGTTTTTTTTTTAAGTTGATTTCAAACGTGCATCGTTTCGATTTTTAGCATGAATTTTCTAATTTCCATATAAAAATGTAGGACATATGTGTCACCAGCATACAAAGTACGAATAACACTCTACCGATTACTTCGTGACTAAAAGTGTATTCAATATTAATTAAATAAACATTAACTAAATTGGACTTTAAAATATATTATAAAACCTATGCCATATATTCTTTATTATAAATAGTGCAACGATCGATTCATTATTCAGTTTGGTTTTTCAAGGGCCTTTCGAACATATTTAAGCACAAGCAATTATGAGATTGTTTACGGTGAAAAATGAAAATAGAGTTATTTATTTTGTGATGTGTTCGCTTGACCGACGATTTTTTTGCGTTCATTTTTGTTTTTTGTTCATTTAGAGCTGATTTCATATTTTCGCCGAGAGAAATCATGATGCATTTGTCGACCATGGTTTTTGAAAACTATTAACGTTTTTGGCAGCCGTTTCGAATTAAAATTCCCAGAGTCTGTCTATCAGACTTTCTTAATTCAATCTAGAGAGAGGGTTAATTTTCGAAATTTCACGATAAATCTAGAGTAGACTGGGTAATTTTCCAAGGAAATCGTTTTTGTTTTTTACAATTTGTTAAGGGGATGTTTTAAATCGGAGAACATTTCTACAAGTTCGGATCCACAAAATTTAGCTTTTTCAATTGCAACTTTGGCGATCCTGATGGATTTACTTGCATTTCATACTTTTATAACTTCTCACAATGATGTTCGAACGGTTTGATCAATTTTTGAGAAATATTTGAAATGTATAAAAAGCAAGTCGAATCTGAAATAAAGCTGAATATTCAATCGCCATCTGTTGTAAATTGAACCAATTCCAATTGCTGAGCTTGCAAAGTTTGAACATTGCAAACGTCTAAAATTCCATTTCGATGCGGCGGCGTAAATATTTACATTAAGACTCTAAGCTTTTTTGTTTGTTTTTAACTTGAACAGTTGAAAAAGTTTTGTTGACTGGATTGGTGCACAGCAGTGCACAGATTCGCCCAAAAAAAAAAACACTTGTAAGCAGATGAAAAATCTTGTATCGAACACTTTTGTTCTTATTGAAATAATACAATGTCAAAATGTGATGACACTTTTTCTTCTTAGGGTGTGTGTATCATTAAAGTGGAACATTTGCGTTTATCATGCATGCATACTTTTAGATTACAAAAGATACGATATTTTTTAATCCATTCAAATCATCAGTATGACATTTTCCTCAAAAATATGTGTGTATTTTTCGTTTGTCAAAAGAGGAAGAGAAAACAACAAATTAGAGAATTTTTCTCCTTCTCGTTCGATTGTAATCAAAATCGTATTGTATCGCGCATATTCCATATTTCAAACTGAACAATATGTAGCAAATCGATGCACACAGACACTTGCATCATTCACACAAATCCAAATCCCGAAAAAAGAGAACTTAAGACAACCGATACACCATTCACATAGAAACATACAAGCAAAAAAGAGTTGTCAAAATACAAATACACAAACTCATACACACACATACACAAGTACGGTTCTAAAATTGCGAACAACTCAATTGTTTTGAATGTTATGTGTTCTAAACTCCAAAATTCAAAGTACACACGATTGATATTTATTTTAATTGAATCGTTTGAATTGTCATCGATAAATTTAAATAATTACAAAATCAAATTCGATTGAAAAAGAAGATCCACGATTCGAGAGTGAATAAAATACTCTTGTGAAGCGTTTTTCGAATGTTTTTTCAAAAGATTTGATTGAGATGTTCTGATAAGTAACGCATTTCATTTTGCTGTTTATCATTGATCAAAATTATCAATCGCATTAAATTCTCTGGAATACTATGATTTTTCTGTTCAGCAAGCCAAGCATGTCCAAATTTGGAAAAATCTCATTCAAGCGATACGAAAGGCAAGCGTAAGGCAACAAATGAAATAAAAAGGTTCGATTACTAAAATTCGGTGGTCGGCTCAGTAAGAACGTTCTCATATTGTCACATGTACTTAATATGATTGGTGTTTTTAGTACCTTTTGTCTCTTTCTGTCATTTGCAATCAATGTTCGTGTTCTAAGTTAAATATACATTTGTGTGTACCGTTTTGAGTACGGCATTTTTTCGTCCTGTCTCTGTCTCTCTTGTGTGCTTTCAATTGTATCGTACACTATCGACTATGCACAAATACAAATGTATGCAGCGGGCCAAATAATTCCATATTCACGGCTAAAAGATGGAAAGTAAGCTACATACAGTAGCGCACACAGATACAAAGTGGTCGCGCAAACACTCTCACGCACTCACACACAACCACACACACATACAGGCGTACACACATATATATTCAAATGAACAAAGTAAAAAAATGACATCGGTAGACTCGCTCGGATTTCCATAGAATGTTACAGTTCGAATCCGCCATATTGAAGGCGGCTTTATCACATAAATTCGAGTTGGAAAAAAATAGCATTTAGTTTTTTTGTTCTCAAATTATAAAAAAGAATTTCCAAAAATATAAAACGCATACTAAATTGTGCTTTTCGTTTCGTTTCGTTTTTGTTTCCCTTTTTGTTTTTTCGCGAAAATAAAAAAAAGTAACCACACACACAAAGTGTCAAACCGAAAAAAAAAATCGTAAATCAAAAACAAAAAAAAAAATTAAACGAGAAGTGTTAACACGGGGCACCAAAATGCAAAAAATGTATTTAACAAAACCAAGTCATTAGTTTGTTGTGGGGCGAATGTTTTTTCCATTCTTTTTTTTTTCGTTTCGCTTTCCGTTTTCATCAACTGAATTGAACGAAATTGGGATCATGTACTCGTCAATATTTTCAATGTCCATTTGAAAATCGTTTCCGCGGAAAATGTTTTATTACAGAGAAAACACACTTACACACACTCATCGAAAGCGTATCCGCTCTCTCTCTCTCTCTATCTCCCTCTGTCACAATTATCACGGACACATTTGGTCAAAAATGCTGTCGATTGTTGTGAAAGAAGCGACAACGCATTTTTTTTTGTTTTTCAAAATAAATTCAATTAGTGTGACCGCGAACTGAGACTAAGAAATGTCTAACGAAATTGTTGGCCAAATTGTGTGCTTGTATGTGCTTGGAGGTATAAAAAGCAGAAACCCTCTTTCGACAGCGGTCATATTTATTCAAAATTTTGTTCAAACAACAACCAATACCCCGTATTTTCCAACCATTTCACATACATCACATTCCGATTGGTTTGTTCAGTGGTGATTTTCAGGTGGTTCGTTTGTTTTTCTTTGGTTTGTTTGCATTTTTTCCACAGTGACCGCTTTATTGTTCAATTCAAACGAGTGATACCGATTTATTTCATATACAAAACCACAACGATCATTGTTCACAGCGCTCTGTTGATAGAAACAAAACCACGTATGAAGTGCACAGATATTATTGGATTAAAAATTGAGATATGGATTACTAAGTGAACAGAAAAGAGTAATTGTGTTTGAAAAACGATTCTAGTTCATGTTTTTTTTTCTTCTTCAATCAGATGTATTGGAAGTACTCTTTAACCAAAGAAAATACACTTCAAATAGTTGAAAACGTGACAAATACATCGTATATTGAACCAACATATAATATCGTATACCATAACAAGTATATCATCGTATGTGCAAATGTTTTATGTATTCTCAACATATCTATCAGATAGTTCGCCCCAGTCGAATACTGGTATTGTTAGTATGCTCCAAATGGCGCAGATTTGTTTTTCATTCCAAGAATGTATACATCAAAATCCGTAATGCAACAATTTAAAGTGTTTAAAATCAATTTAAATTCCGTATATCCTTTTCAAGTTCAACATTTAAAGAAAAATATTCATTCGATTGTGAAGCCAATGAACCCTTCTAAGAAAAGGGTGTTGCATTGTTCATTCTTTTCTAACGTAAAACTTTGATGAATATTCATCTTATTTGCACAATCCACCTGCATCAGCCCCTACCCCACATTTAAATATTTCAAGTCGGGTAAAGTATTTTACTTTCGCTGTTTGAGATTTGTACACTTTGCGGGCAATTCCATTTTAATCATAAAAGAGTTTATTTTTTAATGGAACCCAATGGTTTCTTGATAAAATTTCAACTGTTGATTATCCAAATTTGCTATCGTTTTGGCTGAATGAAATGGTGAATCATTGAGAAGAGAATATTTTCATCCGAATATACAATGCCGGTTTCGAATTAAATTCATTGAATGGGAATTTTATATCGAGCTACTACAATTGAAGCAATCGATGAATGTTTTTTTGGAACATTTGGAATTGTTAAAATTCCCATTGGTCCGACGTGAATGATCAAAATAGGAAAACACATGTTCGATAAATACAAGATAGGAAAACACAATGTGATCTATCGTAATTCATTCGCATTTAGAAAGACTTTTCCAAGGAATTTGTACCTTGACACTTATCACGTTTTGGAATGTTTCAAACACAATTATTTTTGATAATTATTCGATTTTTGATCGAAAAAGTTGTTTTCGTTTGCCAAATGTTAACGACATGCCGAAAAATGTTGAAGAATAATTGCTAAAGTTCAAATTATCAAATGGTGACACCGGATAAAATGCCGGTTCAATGTTTTTTTTGTGCGAACGAATGGATTTTTTTTATCTCGGCTCAAATTTTTCGGTTATGATTTTGAAATAAAAAAAATTCTTAAAAGATAAAAAGATAGCAATTGAAAAAAAAACCACATCTTTGAAACCACGACTTTTATCGAATCGGGAAACTGTGGTAAAAAGCACAAGCAAATCGGAGTAGAAAAATCTCATCTCTCACGATGAAATGTTCGGACGACATTTGTGTCGTTGTTGTTAATTGTCTTGAATGACATGAGAAGAGAAGACGAACGGTCGGGCCGATCGATGCCGATGAAAATGCGTGCAGCTAAAGCACGTGTATTCGTGTGCAAAACTTTCGATTCCGCTAATTTTCTATAGCTTCAGTTTTAAACTTGATACCATTATCTTAATATTTTTGCATTTGGTCAATAATCCAATTATGGCACATGGAATCTAGTTAATGAAATTCAATGACAAAATAATGAGCACGTGTAATTCGTTTACTTCGATGGGTCTCTCTATTGCTATCTCGCTCTATTGTTGCACATCGATACTGTGGCGACAACAACGATAACGACGACGACGACGACGACGACGGCGGCGGCGGCGGTGGCATAACTAATTTTGTAATATATAACCTTCATTTGTTCACTTCCGATTTGGCGTTTCTTCTTCTTATTTATAATCATAGTCGTCGTCCTCGTCTTCGTCCATGGTATTGGAAGAAAAATCCAAAAAAACTGTAGCTAAAGTAATATTTATACCATCGTGATGGCAATAAGTATATCAAAGATCGTTTTCGCAAATTTGATGAAATTGTGGTTGTTGATTTTAACGGGATTCATTTGTTCTAATCCTCAACGACCGAAAAATGGACACATAAGTGACACAACAAACCAATCAAACAATAAACATATTAACTAAATGTAATTTGTATGCGTGTGCAATCACATGAAAATAATTAGCTAATGATTATTTTCGTGGCTGTAAAATGCTTCCATGCGTCTCATTATTTTCTCTTCAAATTAATAATCGTTATGTTATTTTACTTGGTTTTTTTTACAGATAGAAATCACATCATCGTTGTTCTTGGACGAATCGATGCGTAGGAAAACGTCGTTAGAAACATAAATCACATCTAATTAACAAGTCTTGTTTGTAATTTTACATCCCAATCAAAATAATGGAGTGCTGCCTGTCTGAGGAAGCCAAAGAGCAAAAGCGAATCAATCAGGAAATCGAGCGACAGCTGAGACGCGACAAACGTGATGCTCGGCGTGAACTCAAATTATTATTGCTCGGTAAGTCGTGTTATTTTCTTTTTTTCGATAATACATTTTTCGCATCTTCTGTTTTTTTCTTTCTGTGTCGGTTCTTTTATTTTTTTTGTCTGTCCGATTGTTTTTATTTTTATTTACGGTCTCCGGTTAAGAATTTTGCCACGATTTGGGCCTTAAAAATAAACAATAAAAATCTAACTGACTGAAAATTCGTTTCCGTCTAAAATTCCAATATTATTACCTCACATAGCCCACACTTTCACGTTTTTCACCTGAACTCTACGAGTTTGACTTTTTTCGCAATGAAAATTCAATTCGGAGAAATTCCGGTTGTAAACATAGTCTAACGGAATTTTTCTACAAATCATATTTCTTCGTTTTCTCTCTATCTCTCTCACGATATACGTATTTTTCTGTTGCTCAATGGCGCCATTGATTTAATAGAAATTTTATTTTTAAATATTACATATTTCTCGGTGCGGTAGCCATTCGTTATGTATCGATTTAATGTATGTAGCAATGCATTGACTTGCACGATAGCAAAGTAAATAAATATTTAGAAACAGCGATGATATAAACAAAACAGTTTTCTCTCTCTCTCTCTCTCTCTCTCGCGCCAACGCTCGCTTACTCTCCATTAAACTTCTAGCTGCTGTTGGATTTTCATTCAATATAGGCGTGCATTGCAGTTATCAAAATAAAACATTCAGGAGAAGAGATGTTGAAGAGAAAAGAAAATTCAAATTCCTCGATGCGAGTATATGAGAAAAGCCTTAAAGAGATTTTCTTTTCCTTGGAAAATCACTCAAATGAAGGAGCAAGAAAAAATACAATACGAGAATGTAACAGCAATGAATGGGCGAACAAATGTGAATCACTATGTGCGTTTTCGTGGTTCTTGCTTGTGTAAGTGTGTGTATGTGCCTGGTTTCGGCATAACATCATCCATTGAATGACGCATTGCATTGACTGAGAAAAGTTGTGAATGAATGAACAAACACATAAACACAGGACATTTCATTCGCATCCATAAATGCGTATTGTGATCATATGTATAATGCGCGTGAGAGAAATTATAGGGAGACAGAGGGAGGGGAAAGACACACGCAGTTTGACGATTGGAACGATTCGTTTGAGAAATGTTCCTTTTGATAGAGGAAGATAGAGAGAACGAGAGAGGAAGATTGAAATAGATTGAAAATAAATTGTGATAGACAAATATAATAGATCTGGATATGTATTCCTATGGGAAATTGTTCATTCAATTGTTAATCTTGCATTGCGGTTCATCGTGTGTCCTTTTATTTCTCTCTCGATTCGTATCAATCGCATTTTTTTCAGGCCGAATTTTTTTTTATTTTGGATCAAATTCATAAATTTTGAACTATTGATTCAGTTTGTTGACTGTATATGTTTAAGTGCAGTTAGCTATCGATACGACTCCCATATCATATGCGGTGGCATTTTATCAAATATAAATTGAATTTGGTAAAAAGTAAGTAGTATCTCTGGTTTGATGCATTTTTAAATCGAAAATTTTGTTAACCGATACACACACACACACACACTCTCTCAGTGAGAGAGAGAGCGAGAGAGAAAAGAAGCATTTTGTGATGCGATTCATTCCATATCCATTTGTAAATGTTTCCCTAAACACCGCAATTTTTCTATATAATATATATATATATACATGTTTTGGCGAGGTCTTCGAAAATTTAAGCGAACGAATTAGATGGAACGCTTGTGTGCACGCCACTATATTCCGTATGTATATACACACAAATACAAATGAACGCAATTTTAGTGCGCATGATCTTAACATTCCCGGTGAATGACGTTTATCAGAGAAAATTACATTGATTTCATATCTCATCTCACTGAATACGGCTTTTTTGTGCTGCTACCGCAGCTACTGTTCTCGAAAAATTAAAAACGAACTGTGTGCATACTTTATGACACTGTATACGCCAACAAAACCCAAACATTTTGAATTAGTTCAGTTGCCTTGATAAGCATGAAGATTTCATCACTGAACGCATTGAATGAGAGCGCACACACACACACACACACACAAGCACCTTCAATGATGTGTCGTCTTTTGATTATGAAAAGAAATGCCATGTACCTTTGTAAGTGCATGTGTTCTACCGTTGCACACTCATTGCATTTGTCGAAATGTAATTTGCAAAACTGACGATTGATTTCGATGTGCTTCAATCTATACGATCTTTTCAAAAATGTGGTTATTGTTGATGCGCTATCGTTCCATTTCCATGGTTTTTTCATGTAATTTGATTTTCTGTAGATTTGTTTCTTTCCACCTGAAATAATTCGTTCATTTCCCAAATTTTTATTTCCGTGTCAATAGCGATGAACCGATTTTGATTGACACTTTTCGCCCAAAATACGGTACATCACACACGTTTAAATGCCGAAAAAAAAAGAGAAAGGAATGCTAATTTCTATTCCGTCAATCAAATTTGGATTTTATATGTATGAATTTTATCACACCATCATCAGATTGTGTCTGTGTGCGGTGGCGACTTGGCGACAACATTTTAATTATTATTATCATACATTCATAATTTGTTTTTTTTTTTTGGCTCTCGCTACTGCGTTCATCGAAAATGAGATGAGAATAATTTACTGTGCAAACTTTTCTAGTTCCCACCACATTGCTTACTCATCACACACATACACACACATGCAAACACTTTGATGCCCGAACATTTATCAACATTGGTGTTGATACTTTGGTCTTAGAGCCGAATAAATCGTGAATAAAGTTTATTTCGTGTGCGATATAATAAGTGAAATGAATCCAAAACAATAATGTATATTTAAGCGTTTATCACACCACAATGTGGTCGCCGCCCCAATGTCATCAACAGTATTTTTGTTATTTGTTTACGGAAATTCTTTCGACATTATTCGAATATTTTTCAACAATGTGTCGTTTGTTGATGTTGGGTTTTTGCATTTTTCCATGTCAGTTCACTGCCCTTGTCACACCAATTATGCATTGTTTATTTTCAAACATTATTGTTGCGGCATTTTATAAGTTTCATTTTACCCAAGTTTTTTTTTTGGATTTTTCCATTGTTTGATCATTTAATTTGATTTTTTTTTCGCTTTTCGTTTCATTTTTCTTCTTTGCTCTGCATTTGTGTGATGCTCACTACAGGTACTGGTGAATCGGGCAAATCGACATTTATCAAGCAGATGCGAATTATCCACGGCAGTGGTTATTCCGATGAAGATAAACGTGGCTTTATTAAGCTGGTATTCCAGAACATATTTATGGCAATGCAGTCCATGATTCGTGCCATGGACATACTCAAAATTCAATATAGTTCACCAAATAATTCGGTAAGTGTGAATAAATTTTGCGAAATCGTCCGAATGTTACCGTTCATTGTCATTGTGATTGTTTTTCATTTATGTTGCAGGAGAACGCTGAGTTGGTCAGAAGTGTAGATTTTGAAACAGTAACCTCATTTGAACCGCCGTATGTGCAAGCTATCAAAGATTTATGGGCTGATGCTGGCATTCAAGAGTGCTACGATAGACGACGAGAATACCAGCTAACGGATTCAGCCAAATAGTAAGTTTGTTCGTTCATATACGTTTTTTTTTCTCTGAAAGTTCCGATTGTGCAAACGACGACAACCACCATCAACAACATCGATTGGAATTTGATCACAAACCGCAACAATTTCATCGCAAACGCATTTTCAATGAATGCATCAATGAAAGCACACTGATCAACATCGAGATCAAAACATTTATAGATTTTCGATTAAAAAGCATACACACAAATTGATTTTTGAACAATTTATGCTCTACATTCAACAATCAAAATAAATTTAAAATGAATATTAACCGACATTTATTTCACTCTTCAGTTATCTTATGGAAATCGATCGTGTGGCTGCGCAAAATTATTTACCAACTGAACAAGATATTTTAAGAGTTCGTGTACCGACAACGGGCATTATTGAATACCCTTTCGATTTAGAGGAAATTCGGTTTAGGTACAGAGTCAATATCACTTTTTTACGTTTTTTCTCTTCTCTACTCTCTTCACATATATAAACGTTTAATTTTACACTCACTCTATCTGTTTCTAACAACTTTTCACAAATTTTTCTTGAACTTTTTTTTATACATATATGACAAAAAATTACTGCATGCCAATGTGAATGGGTTAAGAAAAGCTCACCGTTTTCTCATATCAAAATAATATAATTTTCAAATATTTTTTGTTTTGTTTTTCTTTACTAATAACTATACATTTGCGATTTGCTTTAGAGGCGAGCAGCCTAGTGTGGCTCCGTTATTATTGATGTGTTGCACCGTTAAATTGGTTAACCAAAAATCAAAAATTATATTTCAATTTTTCTATGGAAAAAATCGTTGCACTTGATTTCCAGCACATATGAACGGCCGTCAATGGTTTTGGGTTTTAATTTTGCATGACAGTTCTCGTGATCAAAGAATTCTTTCTCGATGTGTGTTTTATTTATACTTTTCTATATATGTTTTAATACATATGTGTCGCCGAGAAAGAGAGTGACTCAGAGAATTCCCACCTCCTGCTCACACTTATGGCCGTATGTGCCATGACGTGAGACAAGCGTCCGGTTATTCTCATTCTCCGCCATACATCTATGTGTTCTTGGTATTGGTTTTTTTTGCATGCTAATTGTTTTTTTCTTCTGTTTTGATTATTTTGTACACAAACTTGCCGACTGTGATCGACTGTGAAACGAAAAAAAAAACTTTCGATAACAAATGGTATATTATGTTTGGTATGTGTGTCGGAAAATGAAAACAAAAGTTATTTATCTGATTTGGCAAGAATCGAAGCACCTGAATATTTGCCAACTGAGCAAGACATTTTGCGTGCTCGTGCTCCGACTACCGGCATTCTGGAATATCCATTTGATTTGGATGGAATCGTTTTTAGGTATATATGGTTGGTCCCGATTTGGAACCCACATTCCGAATATTTTAGTTTGTCTCACATTCAAATTTCGTTTTCTTTTTTTTTCGTTCAAATAAATGTTTTTGTTTGTTTTTCAAATGACACCGTCGCCGCAAAGAAAAATTCACATGTAAAATCGCTAGAGATTATTTTTTTTATCGCAACCGAGGTATTTGATTCATTTTTGAAATGTGATGTTTTTTTTCAACATCAATGTAGGTTTCTGATGTTGTTGCTAGTTTAGATATATTTGTTGCATGCTTAACACCCATAATAACACATTTCGCCCATTGACACAAATCGCAAGTGAACGCTTATTGCATGAATTTGTACATTTTATCATAGTAAATTATTTTAGTCATCCAAAGATTTCGTTGAATTTCGATAAGAACAAAAAACAAAAAACATATGCTCAATCGAATATTTTCTTTTTATTTCAAAAAAAAAAACAAAAAAATGCCCAACAACAGAATGGTAGACGTCGGCGGACAGAGATCCGAAAGAAGAAAATGGATTCATTGTTTCGAGAATGTAACATCAATTATATTCTTGGTTGCACTTTCCGAATATGATCAAATTTTGTTTGAGTCAGAGAACGAGGTATGACATTTGATATTTGTGATGGCTAACGATATGCATCAAATTATTTCACACTTCTTTTTTTTTCTCTCACAATTTTTTCTTTCTCGCAGAATCGAATGGAAGAATCAAAAGCTTTATTTAAAACTATTATTACGTATCCGTGGTTCCAACATTCATCAGTCATTCTTTTTTTGAATAAAAAAGATCTCTTAGAGGAAAAAATTATGTATTCACATTTGGTAGACTATTTTCCAGAGTATGATGGTAAGTAATTCTATATTATTGCTCTTGATTTTAATCTTGTGATGTAATGAAGCCGTTAATTCTCGGCACTTGGGACAGTTATTGTTGAACGTATACAACGGAGTGTATTTTTAAATAGAATATTTCTCTATTCTCTGTGTCAACCTCTATTCTTTCTCTCTGTGCCGAGCAAAACGAAAAGAAGCGATAATGAGCGAATCATTTCCAAACGATATTGTCCATTGTTAAATCCTGTAAAAAAATCTCTCATTGTTTCATGTAAAATTGACATCCGTTGCAGAAGTTGATTCGATAAGTCAAGAGAGAGAGAGAAAAAATGTATACGCGACATATGACACGACAGCTAAATGATATGGTGACTCAATAGCTCTGCATGCTCTTTCATTGAATTTGCATGTGATGGCTAAACCGATCATTAATCATCGCTGAACGTGAATTGTCTGTGTTTGCCTATGTATTTTGCGATGAGCTCAACGCTCAAAGGCTGCAGTTAATTAACGATTTTTTTTAATACTTAAATTACTTTAGAAAAATATAATCTTGTGTAAATAACAATTTTTTGAGACACCGGCTACGTAAATATAGATGATACAAAAAAAAATATACTGAAATATCATTTAAATATAAAACCACACAGGGCCAAAGCAGGAAGATAAACCGGCTAAAGAGTTCGTTTTGAAATTGTACATGGCGTGCAATCCGGATCCAGATCGTTCATGTTATTCACATTTCACTACTGCTACAGGTGTATCCGAAATGAAAGAATTTTTTTTCTCTTTTTCACAAAACAAAACAAAATTCCGTTTTATCAATGTGCTAAACATCCATTTGTTGCTCTTCATTCCCCGTTTGCTGTTCAGCTCCGCGTAACCTGCCCAAATTATGAGCGCATTGAAATTATTCACATTTTATGCATTTCCCATTGAATCGTGTAGCATTACTCTTGGAATATATTCGCTAGATTGTATTCAACGCCAAGTAGATTATTTATCGCTAAATAGCACACATTTATTTAATTATATTCCTTTAGTGCAATTTCACAATACCATTATGCTTCCACATCTTTTCTTTTCCGTCTTTCACCATATAAAAAAAACAGGTCCACAAAGAGATGCAATAACAGCTAGAGAGTTCATCTTGCGTATGTTTGTAGACTTAAATCCCGATTCAGAAAAAATTATTTATTCCCATTTTACATGTGCAACAGGTAAGTGTTTCATTAAATCAACGGAACCTATTGCGAATTATATTCGCATCTTTATTCATGTATTCGAATGCTTTTGAAATTGATTGAAATCCACATACGCTTGTAGAACGCCCACCCACTTTTTTTCTTTTTGTTGTTGACAAAAATCCATTGCGGTATACATTTTAATGAGTAGAACTTATTTCGAAGTATCAACAGTAAATTACAAATGAACACGCTTAACGTATCGCTAGATGGCCATTGAATTGTTATTTATCTGAATCTTCTTAAAATGTTGTTTATTCATTTTAAGTCGAACAATTTAATTGAAACTATATTCATTTTTTTAATAACCGTTAAATTATTTTATTTTTTTTTATTTTGTTGACTCAAACTGCATTGGAATGTACTGGCTCCAATTCAACCTCGGGGACTTTAACATCATATTTTGTGATTCGTTTTTTTTCGCCACTAGATACGGAAAATATTAAATTAGTATTTTGTGCGGTGAAAGACACAATCATGCAATCGGCACTCAAAGAATTCAATTTGGCCTAGTTTTGCGAATGCACATCATGGGATTATCAATTTTTTTCCCATTGATGAAATTACTAAAATCTTTATTACTTATCAAATATTTGATCTATTTAGACAATTGTTTTTGGTTCTCTTGATAAAATAATCCAGTCAATACTAATTTAACTAGTTGTGACATCTCCACATCGAAAAATTTGAGAAAATTATAAAAGAAAAAAATGTGTCCAATTTCCAATTATTGTTTAAAATGGATGAAAAAAATGAAGCTGTAATCGTCTTTAAAATATAGTGTCGGGGTTGTCATATTCCAATTTTCAAAAGCATTTTAAATATGAATTTTAATTTATTGTCAATAAACACACCATTTTTCCACAAATTTAAGCTCTTTTTTTTCTTAATTTTTCGAAGAAACTTGACCTGAATTGAAATTGTACATTTTTTTTATTTTTCACAAAAAAAAAAATTCGCTATAAAAGGTCTTTTAAATTTTCTAATCTCACTTCACGAAGTTGAAATATACGGAAAAATATGTGCAATTCTCTTCTTTTCAAGTGGAATTTATTTACTTAATTGAAATAGGAATAAATTGAAATGTTAAAAATGTTGTATCTCATTTACTAATCCATTTTAATTCTTTTTCTCGTTTTCTTTTACATCAAACAGATACAGAAAATATTCGATTTGTTTTTGCTGCGGTTAAGGACACAATTTTACAATCGAATCTTAAGGAATACAATTTGGTGTGAACACTTGTGTGTGTGAATTGTGCAATTTCCGTCGTTTCGCATGCATCAAAAAACAAACAAACAAAAAGAAAACCATACACACACCCCCACACCCCCCACACACATTTATTATAAATAAATTGATAAGTTGAAAATAAGAATGCGAGTGAAGAATAGAAAGACCCACACAGTGAGACAGACAGTGGAAGTAAGATGAAAAAAAAAGATTTAGAAAATAAAGAATGGAAGGGCAAGAATGATGGATGAAAAGAGAAAGAAAGAAAAATTACACATACACACATTAACTATAATTTATATACCTACTATATAATGATATATATTTAAAAAAAAGATGAAAATGAAAAAAATGAAAGAAAAAATTGCAAAAAAAAAAACAATATTATATTTTATATGATAACAAAGATAAAGTAAAAAAACCAGAAAGTCAAACTAAAACAAAGAAGAAGAAGAAGAAAGAAAATTTTCAAACAAAAGAAAACAACAACCAGCAATCTAAAGTCAAATAGGAATGCTAGTAATAAATTTATTTATGAATACTTAACAAAATATGAGTGAAAACAACAACAAATTGATAGATAAATCCAAAACAAACAAGAAACAAAAAAAAAAAAAAAAATTTAATAACCGCTGTCATTTGCAACAAACATTATTTTATAAAACAAGACCACAAAATCTACCGTGTTGTGTTGAATAATTACGAGAATTGTTTTTTTTTTTGTTTAGTTCGATTAATGAAAATAAGGTCCAGAGTAAAATGAAGAATGAAAAATTGTTTACGAAGGAACATTCGACCGATCTGAGAGAAATGAATAAAAATGAATGAGTCAAAAAGCCATTGATCGCAGTAATCGATTGAATGGGCCAGCAAATACACAGACCGGGAAATTAAAAAACAAATCCGATGTTAGCGTATGAATGCATCCGCCTCCTCTATGTAATCCCCTCCCCCTCCCCAAATATATTTGAAAACAAACGGTACTGAAACGTAATGTCCATCGTAGATTGTGTGTTTATCATTTAGTAAAATAAAAGCAGAAACTAAACAGAAAAAATCCAATGATTCTATTCAGCCGAGCAAACAAACCACACACACAACCCCATACACACAAAAATAATAATAATATTATATTTTTTATTACACGCACCTCGATTACTGTGATCGTTAGTATTTCTGGATGATAAAAGTTATGTAAAATAAGTGAAACCGTGAAGAGAATTTCCATTACCTCTTTCTGCCAAATGGAAACCAATTTTCAGTTTAACCAGAAAAACAAAACAAACAATCGGATACTAAATGTATTTAAATAAGCCCAAAAATTGGTTTCGCGATTATTATTATTTTTTTTTTTTTGATTTTGACTGTTGCTGTTGGGCTGTTTTTCTTTCTCTTCAATGTAATCTTGTCAAAAAAAGACCTCTATGTAATCTTCTCAACAACAAAACGAAAAAAAAAAAATCTGTGCGCTGACCAAAAATTATCGACACACACACACACAAATGAAATCAAAGAATGACATTTTTTCATCCAATATGAAGAAAGGATTTTTTTAAAATTTAAACGAAATTAAAGAAGAAAATACAGCCCAACTGAGCCTGCATACATATTTCATTCAAAAAAAAAAAAAAAAAAAAAAAAAAAAAAAATCATCATCGCTTTCTCCCTTCATTCAGCACACAAGCGTAAACAAAACATAAAATGCGCCATTTTTTCACGCGCATATGTTATACATATGCGGTTCAAATTTAAATGAGAAAAAGAAAATCCCAATAGCAAAAAAACAACATATATACACTAAGGAAAATGATTTTTTTTTTGAAGCAAAACAAAAAAAACGAATCCAAACCAATATTTAAGAACGACCAAGTTTAATAGACTTTATAACAAAAATGGGATAACCACATCTAGTGAAATAATCGAAATGTTGAAGACGAACAGATATTTAAAAATGATGAAAATTTGAAACAAAAAAATAATAATATTAATAAATTAATAATAGTAATAATAATGAAGAGAAGAAGAAAAAAACACAAAATAATAATGATAATATTATTAATAAATTATTTTTACAACATGGATACAATTTAGTATTCAGACACGCACACATACACATACACACACATACACCGGAAGAAAGAGTTCGTTGCAAAAATATACAGGCTCTATGCGAGCAGGGTGGTAAAAGTCGAGAAAATAAAACATACACACGAGAATCGCAAAATTATTCGAAGAATTTGCAAATTTGTCATCCGGTGACATGCTTGTACAGACCCTGTATATTTAAGTGGTTGAAAAAAAAAACACTACATGTTGATTGATATATATTTAGTAATAATCGTATAATTGAATCGTTTTTCTTCAAATTATATCGCGCAAATGTCCACGAACTCACTTGTCATCGCGCGTGTATGTGTGTGCGATGTGAACAAACAAACAAACAATTTATTTCTCAATTGTGTCCATTTTCCAAAAATGTTTGAGCTTTTCAAGGAATTTTTCATACCAACCACACACACACCATCGTCGAATCACAAATACATATAATAATATTTGTCTATTTTCGTCACATCATTTCGATTATTATGCATTTTTCAAATTCGTTTATTTTTCATTTCTTTCGTTTCGTTTTGATAATGTGTTTATTCTTAAGATAACAAAAATGAGTGTCAAAAAATAGAGACTATATTAGACTCATCACAATAGTTATTTGTCTAAATACTTTTACGATAAATTTTCCGTGTTCGATAGATAACAACCAACACCAACAACAACAACAACAACAAAAACCATTTTGTAATAGATTTTGTGTTTGCTTCATTTCATTCGCTTTTCCATTCAATAAAACATTTGAAATGATAATTCTCTTGTTGATGGTATTTTCTTGCCAGCAATGTGTGTGTGCTCTTTCGACAAGCATCACCCAAAAAAATGTGATACAAAACAAAAAAAAAACATATTTGGATGATGACACAAAAGTTTGCATTTTTTTTCTCGAATGATTTATTTAAAACAAAAGCATCCTCATCAGTGGAAACAAAGAAAACCGCATAGAATTGTTTCAATATTTTTCTAAATACGATAAATATTACCATTTTGCCATGATTCGTTTGGAAGATGCATACCGAATAAAAAGAGAAATGACATCATTCAGACTTTTAGACGTTCATATTGTGAATATTATAATTGCCGCCTTCTTTTTGATTCAACTGTTTCAATACCAAAATAAAACCTCTAACAACAATTGAACGAAATCCAGTTTATTTAATGACATCAAAACTGTCTATCACATAATGAGCAAAAGCAAAAAAGAAGTATCGGAATTTGTCCAGTTTTTATAGGAAAAACCTTTTTCAACGCCATTGTGTGTGTGTGTGCGCGCGATTGATAAACACAAAAAAATGTGCACGTTTTGCATCATGGTGAAAGGCAATTTATCGGTGCATTGTTCCATTTCATCTTTCAATTTCTTGTTTTTGGGTAACCAGCCCACGGTTCATTACGTCGGTTCACGTTCATGGTCTTCACATTCTTCGAGAAAAAAAAATAGTTTACAATGAACAATGAAAAAAAATATTGGTGAAAAAAGGCACACACTCATGGTCACATTTTTGCAACAAACATGTCGATTCTGGTGTGTTCGTTGATTAGTAATCGATGATTACACTGGATTACACACCATAGTCAAAATGTTTGGTCAATTCATAATGATTATCGTATTCAAAGATGTTCTTCGATTCCTTTGGGATGTGTGTGTTTTTGTTTTTAAATTATTTAAAATGAATTTGTATAGCGCATGATGATCACTTTATGAAATTTTATTATTATTAATATTATTATTACGATTTATTTAATTATTATTATAAAATGTTTTTCTTTTCCTTTTTTTTTTTTTTTTGATGCCATTTGTTTAAGAGTTAGAAATCGTTTCAGTCGATGCGTGCGTATGAATTTTAAAATTTGCAAAAAGTCAGACTTTTCATTTAAATTTTGTGCCGCCTATAAAAACCACTGAATCAATTGTTAATTTTTAATAATTCAAGCCAACAAACAATAAACAAAAAAATGTAATTTAAATTACAATCTGTCGAGAGTGAGAGAGCGATAGAGAAAGAGAAAAAAAATAAAACATTAAATTCATGTATTTTTCTGTTGAATTTTTTTTTTGTTTGTTTCTTTATTTATTCATTTCTTTATTATAATTTTATAATTATTATATTGAATGTTTAGATTTTATTTATATTTTTTATTTTATATACGTTTTGCTGCACATATAAAATTGGTTTCAACATCAGTTGCTAATATAGATAAATTAGGTATTTGAAGGGAAACAAAAATGAATTGCATACGAAATTCCAATTCAGAATGTGAAAATAGGGTGAGGATGCGGCTAAATAAAATCGATGGAATCAAACCAAAATCAAAGAACAAAAGTAAATATTTAGAAAAAAAGTTGGGCACGAGATCAATTTTGTAATAAAAGGGCCATGGTCGCCTTTTCGAAAGACGAACTTTCTTTTTACTCAACAATTTATCACTGATAAGCACACAAAAAAAAACACACACTTAACCCGTTTTATATACAGTGAACAACATTGAAAAACTATAATTGCATTGGATGGATTATATTTTGATTTATTTATTGGAAAAGAAAAAACGTGTTCACCCATTGAAGCCTAGTTTACATTGATATTTGTGTAGATCTGATACGCACACACCAAACAATTTCGCCAGAAAGATGAACTCACCATACATTTTCCACCGAAATAAAAAATATTCTCCGCTCATCAAAATGCATTTGATTTGTTTGGCGATGTAAATTGAGCCTTGAAATAAGAGAAGAACAAAATCTTAATAAATCATTACACCATATTCACTATACGGTAATCTTCAAGGTGTGTCATCATTTTTCGATTTTCGAACAACTGAAACTCTTCTGTTTTGATACAATTTCCAAAACACTACAGCAAAAATATCCAAATAATATAAAAAAATACGCACAAACACACATCATTGCTCTAATTCGACACTAATGAGGTCTGTCCGAGTGAATTTATTGAATAAATTAACAACAAGACATTTTCAACACAAATCAATTGAATATGGACGAGAGAATGTTCTTTAACAATAAGAGTCACATTTTTTTCTAAAAAGTCAAAATCGAAAGTCAAAACACTCCTCTACAATTAGGGTGTTTCCCATATCTGTAAATAGAAAAATTGTATTTATTATTTCAAAATAGGCAAAATTCTATGGTAGTTAATGGCATTTATACAACGAAGCGATAGATGTTAGCACTTCCCGAAGCGAAAAACAATACAAATGTCATTTAACACAGATATAACACATCTATAATATGAAAATATCCATTTTTTATATACATACCTTTGATGAGAATGCATTTGGCGGCCACGATATTACGATCCCAAGCTGTCTAATGCACAATCATTGGTTGTTGCTCGTCATCGATTTCCGTCACACATTCATCATCGACTGCATACGGTTGTTGAGCGACCTCTCCATCGATTTCCGCGACTCACTGCGTTTACTTGCCATTTTTTTACTGTCAACCTCTCATTTGCAAATATGTTTGATTCGTCTTCAATTGGCGCGTTTAATTTGGTATAACGTTTTCATGATGTTGCCGAAATATTTGTTGTTTGGCCAGGCAAATTGATTATCTCGGCTCAATTCTTGCTCAACAAAACGACGAAAATGTGATTCCATGTCCTCGTTTTCTTTGTTCTTATGAAAAACTGCATAAAAGCAGCGCTCAATCACATCTTTGGCACGATTTTTTCAACCAATTTTCCTTTTTGGTTAACATACATTCTATTCGTGAAAAAGTCCCATTGGCGATTGCTTTGCGCGGACTTCACCTTGTCAAGGAACGGCAACGATGCCAAAACGCTGATCTTTGTTTACATGATACTTTTCTTTTCGATCCATGGTATGACAACATCATGGTACTCCGGCCGAACAATTGTTGTGAGACACATTTTTATCGCTAATAAGCCATTGTCATTGAAGTTTTCGTCCTCGGCCTCCTCCTCTTGTTGCTTTTTTGTTTGATATTCATATCGTTTCTTTTTCGACTTTGCAGCCGATGTTTCACCAGTTGTCGATATGTTGAACTGCAACGAAATAGAAAAAAAAACACGCACAATTTAAAACACTGATAAAATCACAAATATGTATTTTGCACTGTGTAATTTGTAAATGAATTGAATCAATAGAAAGCACATAAAACGGAGATAGAATTGACACTTGATATTACCTGATTGATGGTCGCGACTGAAGTGATATTCAAAATCGAAAAAGAACTCTTTCGAATGCAAATGACACTAACACAGTCTAAAGTTGTATCGAAATATTTGCAGTTTCAGCTTGAGAACGTTTTGTTGATATCAAAACAAATCAAAATCGAACACAAGTTCCACTGAAAATATCTCTCTTGCAATTTATTGATTGACAATGATCCGAATGCTGAATCTGTTGTATTCATAAAAAACCACCAACAGAGTGAAATTAACTCCTTCGAAAGCATAAAACAAATACAAAATACGCCGACACATTCAAATTATATGTTTTAGCACTTTAACGATTGAATGCATAGAAATTATGCAAGGAATGCAGATTCAAATAAAAA